GGGACCACCCCCTCTCATTTTAGGCCTCAAAGCCACATTTCTACCACTGAAAATCCACTGGATTTCAGTGGTTAAAAGAACCAAAGGTGATCTCAAAGGCTTAAAGAGATGGCTCAAAACAAGGCAAAATAAGGCACAAAAGAGGGTAGACCACCCCCAACACTAAAGAGGCCTCAAACAAACATTTTAAGTACTTGAAAATGAAGTTTTTTTTAGTTTAAAGTTAGGCCCAAAACATCATGCAAAGATGGCCAAATGTTTAAGCAAAACAAAGCTTAAAGAGGAAAAACACTCACCCTTGAAGAACAACTGGAAAACAGCAAGCTCTGAGGGAAAAACTAGCTTAAAACCACTCAAATAAAGCTTCCAAGTACCTCAGCAACAAGATGAAGGTATTTGAGTAGGTGTTTGTGCGCGAAGGTATGAAGAAGTAACACTTTAAGGCACAAATACAGATAGAGAAAGAGAGCGATATAGAGAGAGAGTAAGCTTTTTTCTCTTCAAGTTTCTGAACCTGGAAAAGGGAGAGAGAGCCTCCCTCTTATAGAACTCCAAGCTTCAAGCTTCTTGGAGAAGCTAGAAGCTTGGTGCAATCCCTCCATACACGTGTATGGAGGATGCAATTTGTACTCTCCAGCTGGCACAGCTAGCATCCACAATATCTGCAAAAAATGCAGGAAAGCTGGTCGACCAGTTACTTGCACTAGTCGTCCAGCTACTTTTTCTGGTCTGCCGGAAAAGAAAGTGGTCGGCAAGAGGGGGAAGGTGGTCTACACAGAGAGAGGAAGGTGGTGGCACGATTGCAGACCACTTGTAGACCACCTAAGTGGTCGGTTGGACACTTTTTTGGTCGGCAGCCCAATTTTCTGGTCAGTAGGCAAAATTCTACTTTCTAGGTCCAATTTTAAATGGGTATAACTCCTTCATATGGAATCCTTTTCAGGTCATTCTTGTGTCCAAATTGAAGCTCCGGAAGTAAGCTTTCCAATGGTGGCATCCTTGCATGAAAATTCTAACTGTGAAAAAAGTTATGCCTGTTTTGGGGAAGTCGCTCAATTTCGCCCCTACCCGGATTCATGCCGAACTTCTCCCAAACTAGTTTGCTTCTCTCCTCTCCTCTTTTCTTCAAATCCAAACCCCTAAAAAAGGTGTTTTGAAAGATTTTTCAAAGATTTCATCTCTCTTTCATTCATTTCCACTTTGTCCTCGCTCGGTTTACCGAAAAGCACAACATTTAACAAAATGCGAGCGTCGGAACATCATAGGAACTTCTTTTCAAAAATATTTTGAAAGAGAGGGTTTTAAGGTCTAAAATCTTTGGTCAACATAGCTTTGATCCAAAAAGGGGTGTGAGGTTGGGACTTGACTCTCTCTCCTTGCCGAAAAAATCGACCATTTGCACTGCACAACTTCGTCACCGCGTAAACCATCAGTAGTGCCCAAGTCTTAAGGGCGGTAAAAAATGAGGTGTCTACACATGGTCGCGTTCTTTTAGATGATCGCGTTGATCCTGTAAGGCACGAATTCGTTCCCAAACACGATTACTTCGATTGATACCAATGCACAACTCCGGCCTCTACGTCGCCTATCAGGGAGTCTTCGAAGCTTACGGTGAAGTCGTTGCCGGCACATTTTGGCTACTATTTGGGAGAAGCTTGACCAGGCGAAGTTTGATGAGTGGATCCGAGAAGTGGAAGTCAAATTTGATGAGCAATGCATGTTCTACTGCATCGAAGCTTTTCGAGATCGACGACAACGAGATCTAAGCTTTCATGATCGATTTAAATGTTCTGAGATCGACTGCGATCTGATGCCTAGTTTTGACCTAGAATCTTTTAGACAGAGAAAACTAGGGCTCGTGTGAGTGAGAGAGAGAAGGCAGAGAAGGGAAAGGCGTTGGAGTCGCTGTGATGTTCTTAAGGAAGTGAGAGGGAGAGAGAGAGATGATGATGATGATGATGATGATGATGAGAAATGAGAGAATGAGAGAGAGAGAGAGAAATCTAAGTGAGTGAGGGGGAAAGGGAGTGGGAGAGGGAGAGAGAGATTGGAGATGGTTTGAAGCTTTGATTCTGAACCCTAGGCTTTGATTCTCAAATTGGCGAACGGCGGTGAACGGCTGCAACAGTGAGTGACGTGAGATTGAGGAGAGAGGGAAATCTAAGTGAGTGAGGAAGAGAGAGATGAGAGACGGTTTGTGTGTAAGGTTGTGTTAAGGTTTGGTTTATATATATATATAGGGTATTTTGGTCATTTTATCTAAGCTGGTGATAAAGTATTTGAGCGTATAGATCTTTGACCAAACAAAATTAAAATTTGGACTTTTGAACTGACTTCAAAATTTGAGTTAGGCATATTGAGTTGGTAGTTGGGTGTAAATAGAATCACCCCATGATATCTTTAGTGAGGTGAGAAGACAAAATGCATGTAAGGAGAGTTTTAAGGGAATATTTGAACGTGGATCAACTTTTTAAATTTTGCTTGCCATGTCATTTGGAAGATTTAGGGAAAACAATTGTGTGCATGAATCATTTTTCAAACTAAACAACAGTGCTACATCCGAACCGTTCAGTTTTTAAGATTTATTGAGTAGAACATCTCTATAAAAAATAAAGTTCATCGGATATTAGTAGCATTATGATCAAATCAATTTTGTATTCAATCTTATACTCAAAATTAAATTTCTTGTTTTTTTTTTTTTTTTTGGTTGATACAAAATTGATTTTGATCATAGTGTTATTGATATCTGATAAACTTGATTTTTTATAAGAATATTCTTCTCAACATATCTTAAAAAATGGACAATTCTAATTATCAAGATAGGACCCAAAGTGAGCCTGATTACCTGAATAACAGTGATTGTGGCATAGCAACCATCCTTCACCCCTTTTTTTCTCCGCAAAAGAAATAGATTCTATAAGATCCTGAGTTATTTTAATTAACACTATTAAAATAGTGGTTAAGATTCTTTTTATTATATATTATATAATGATTGTGAAAAAATTACGTCAATAATTATAATAAAATTTTCACATTATTTTACAACTATATCTTTTATACAACTTTGTAATTGAGAGGTTTGAGTAGTTGGACCACTCTTGTACATGTTAAGTAGTGTGCATTTTAATAAGTCAAATTGGGCTCCATTTTTATTCATGTAAGGAAAATAAAACATTACTTTTAACTGTGGGTTAGATATATATCAATTAGTATATTAATTAGTACATCAATACTAATTATGACATTATTATTAATCTCACTCAGTATACAAATTACAAATGTCAAAAACATCTTAAATTATGCCAAATCATTAATTGACACACTAGTTAGTACACTAATTGGTGCATATAATATTATTTTATTTTTAAACACGTCTAATAAAGATGTTCTAAACAGTATTTAATTATATTGGTAGACATCCCTCTCCCAAAATAATAATAATAATAATTAATAAATAAATAGAGAGAGGAAAAAAATCTAAATATATTGGACTGGGACTACTCCTTTGTCTTGTTGTTCCTTCTTTTTCATTTACCTTGTATTTGGTTAAGAGATTTGGGAAGAGATTTAAAAAAGAAAAAAAGAAAAAGTATGTGAAATTAGATGAAATTGAGATATATTTTATTCATATTTTACTTGCATTTTCCCTTTTAATTTTCAAATCCCTCCCTCCAAATGTTCTAACCAAACACAGCATTAAGATATTTTAACAGGACAATTATATTAAAGGTGATTGACCCATAAATCCCCAAAGGATAACTTTTGGATCAATGGGTCCCAAATTAATTTAAATGTACACGCTAGTCCCATTGGACATTAATTGACACTTTTGCCCATTCATTGTGCCGTTTTTGGTAATAATTGTTTATTACCTAAAATGTAGTAGTCCCTCCATGCAATGTCACATTTGGGAAAAGCACACCATAGAGTTTTTGAATTACACATTTCATCTTTTCGTATCCCACATTCAACAACTCCACGTTTTGGAACACCACACTAAAATTGGAAAAGGAATCACCGATCCGGCTTCACGTTTGGTTAGGGTTGCGAAAAGTGAACATTACAGAGATCCCATGTGGGTGTTTCACGTTGGGAATTTCGTCCTAATATGGCAACCACATCCTTGCTGTTAGATTGAAGATACGTTCAAAAGTGAACGTTACGGAGATCCCAATTGGGTGTTTCACGTTGGGAATTCTATCCTAATACAGCAATCACATCCTTGCGGTTGGATTGAAGATATGTTCTCTAGTAGTTTAGGGTTTTTGAATTCAAATGTTGAACGTGATTGAACGTTACAGGGATCTCGTTTGGGTGTTCCTTGTCTGAAATGTTGCCCTAATGTGGCAACACCATCCCCACATTTGGAAATGAAGATACATTGAGAAATAGGTTAGGGTTTTTGAATTCAAAATCGGATTGTGACATATTCGATCAGAATCTTGACAGGCGTATATTAACCCCAAGACGTTAGTGTGGTGTTGTCAATGTCGATTGTGTTGTTACGTATATGTTAACTCAGAATCCATCATGACTACAACGTTGCTACCGTGCGAACATAACAACATGATGTCATCCCCCGTTCCTACACATAAACACAACTCCAAATGTCACACAAACAAACGAGCACAAAAAAACATTTTTGATGCAACTACGTAAGACATGTGAGAATGTGAAATTGTAGAATGGCCAACATTAAACCTTATAACCGACACACGCGAACACCTAACAATGGAACAAACGTAAAAACGTCACATTTTTACTTACAAAAACCTTACAAAAATAACGAACGTCAAAACTAATCAGAAATGGCAACGAATAGAAAACAAACATATTACCTTACAAAAACTCCGAGAGACCAATCCTTCATCTTCATGCCACTACAAGCCACCGATCGCAAACCTCCCCCCTTTCAACATTTGAAACAACTCCACACAGCACTCCACTTTCCAAATGCCATAAATGCTACAATCCAACATGGAAAGATCTTGTCCACATTAGTTATTCCCATAGGGTATTCTGGAATGTGCGGTGGTAGAGTGGCTGGTAATGGGCTTAAATAAAATCAAACAATTCCCTCCCCAGTTGAATATGGCAATGTTTCAATTAAAACTCATTTGTTAAACCCATATGCATTGTCAACCACTGCTGTCTTACTTGAATCAGGAATCATTTCATGCCAATCTTCCCAATTTTCTATGCTTTTAAACCTTGTCCTCACCATCATCTAAGTTGTTAATAATCTTTTCAAGCCCCTCTGTATGCACATAACTAGGTGTTCAGACCAGCTCACGCACATATCACCAATCAATCTATGCTAAGATCCCCACCACCACCACCACCAAGATAGAAGAAAAAATGTTGGGAACAGTTTCAGAGGAGATTGAAGTAAATGTGTCGGCAAGCCAAGCTTGGGAACTGTATGGCACTCTCCAACTTACCAAGTTCGCGGGAGAAGAGCTCACTAATGTTGTTGACAAAATTGAGATAGTACAAGGCGATGGTGGAGTTGGGACCATTCTCAACTTAGTATTTCCACCAGGTATAACAACAATATCTATCCATCTATATATATATGCCCATTATTTATGTTTTTGATTTGTTGATGAAAATTAAATGAATTTGGAATTACGAATTGTTAGGGACACCCGGATTTTTGTCTTATAAGGAGAAGTTTACAAAGGTTGATGATGAGAAGAGAGTGAAGGAAGCGGAGGTGATTGAAGGAGGATATCTTGATTTAGGATTCACTCTGTATCGGGTTCGATTTGAAATAATAGAGAAAGGGGAGGAGAATTGCATTACCAGATCCACAATTGAATATGATGCCAAGGAAGACGCTGCTGCTAATGCCTCCTCCATGATCAGCATCCAACCTTTTGTCTTGCTTATGGAAGCTGCCTCCAATTATCTCACTAGGAACAACAAAAAAAAAGCATAATTAAATGAATAAAATGTAATTAAATTTAATTAAGGTTGATATATATGCATGCATTCATGCACAAGCATGCACTTTGATATCTTCAAATCCAATCTGTGTTACTCCTTCCCCATGTTATAGTGATGTTATTGTATAAGTTCTGAAATTCTTGTTTGTTTGTTGTACTGTTGTTGTTAAAGAGTTTTTATCAGAAGCTAATTTCTCAATTACTATCATTCCTTAAAATTTTCTTCTACTGGTTATATTGACTTGAAAGACAGGGTTACCAGAATATTTTCAAACAAAATAATGTTTTCTTTGTGGTGTGTGTGTGTGTTTTTTTTTTAATTTTGAATCAAAACAACTGTCATTCATTATTTCTAAAAGCTCTAGGTTGTCAATCAGGGAAGTGTGTCTATTTAATAATAATGATGACATGGGGCCTTTTATACGTATAAAAAGAAGTCACAAAGAAACTTCTCATACGGACTGATTTTTTAATCATTTTTTGGCAGAACCGGACTAATTGGTCATTAAATTATTATTTTTTTTAAGAATTTTGAATTTTTGCATTTCTAAAGCTGCATTTTTGTGGGGAACTCAGAGTTAAAATGGAAAATCCATTTGGTTAATTGAAAGGAGGTTTCATTAATAAAAAGAAGGGTGGTCTTGGCATCAGAAATATCAGATCTGTCAATTTATGTTTACTAATGAAGTGGTGGTGGAGGTTTGGGACCTAAAAAGATGCTTTGTGGAATAAGGTTTGTTTCCCTTCTCATGCTAGCAATAACACTTGTTAAAAAATTTCGGGTGATGTTTCCATTGCATCCTCAAGCCCTTTGTTTTTTTAATTTTTTCAGGGAAAATATAGATGTAAGAGTTGATAATGGGATAACTGGATGGGCAGTCCAAGTTTAAAAACTCAATTTCCCAGACTTTTCAGCCTTTCAGTTGATAAAGATTGTTCATTGAGATTCTTTGTTGATAGAATAAGCAGTGTGAGTAATAGAAGAGCCCTATTGGCTTGGGAGGAGGAAGAAGTCCACAGATTGCAAGATATGTTGGGAACAGGTCCATGTTTGCATTTTGATTCAGAAGATTTACTGAGATGGAAAGCACATAAGCAGCCGCAACTATTATATAACGTAACGTCGTTACACAACGTAACATCGTTACACAACAGTTGTGGTGGTTACAGTTATTCATTACTTTTGCTATAGCAGTGTGATGGAAATTTACATATGTAACGGCTATAGCGGTACCATAACGGCCGTAACAGTTTGTTACATACCGTTTCACCCTTTATAATATTCTGAATAACTTTTTTTCTCAAAAATTAAATAAATAAAAACTTAAAAAAAAAAAAAAAAAGAACAAATACTCAAGTGATCCAAGTCTAAAGAAAAAAATCTTATATTAATTTATTTTCTTTATAATTTATTTTTAATTTTTATTTCTTTACAAAATATATAAACATGGTTTTATTTATTATAATTATTTTATTTAATATTCAATTATAAATATTTTTTATTTTGTTACTGTAATGTGTTGCCTAAAAAATATCTTAAAAAACTCAAAAATATTTTTTTGTTTGTGACACAATTTTTATTTTTATAATCATTTCATTTAATACTTAATTGTAAGTAACTTTATTCAGTTACATGTAAAGTGTTGTCTAAAAAATGCCTAAAAAATAATTTTTATTTATGGTACAATTTTTATTTTATAATCATTTCATTTAATAATTGTGAATATTTTTTAGGGAAAACCACCAATAAATCCCAAATTTTAATTTGTTAAATCATTTGGTCCTACCTTTTATTTTGTAGATTGATAAGTCCTATTTGAATGTCAATTACGTATATACCCATTTATTTAACACATAATTTTTTTTTAATGGAGGGCAACGTAAGTTTTTACTGATGTTGTAATGACAAAAATACCCAAAAAGTTTATTATAGGCTTTTTTATGATTTCCCTCCTTTCCGAACATCAGCAACGTCAACTACATCATCAACATCAGAAAACATCAACTACATCATCAACATCATCACCATCAGCAACATCAACTACGTCATCAACATCATCAAACATCATAAAAAATCAGCAACATCATCAACATCAACTATATCATCAACATCGTGAACATCATCAAAATCTTCAAACATCAACTACATCATCAAACATCAGCAACATCAACTACATCATCAAACATCAACTACATCGTGAACATTATCAAACATCAACTACATCATCAAACATCATCAAAAATCAGCAACAACATCAAAACATCATCAACATCTGGCAAAGCCAGCAAAAGATGTGACCACAAAGAGTAACAATTGAATCTTGGGCTAAGTCGAAGCATATATTGCATTCAAAATTACCAGCATCATTGTTGTTACCATTGCTGCTTGAGCAAGAAAGACTTTGGGGGTGGCTTGCTGGTTGATTCCCCAAAATCCACTTGCCATCTCTGAACCTCAAAACCTCAGATTCCCTATAAACCATATAAACCCCAAATTAACAACAACCTTAAATATATGCATATATATATATATATATATATATATATATTCATGAAATCAAGAGTAACAAATTTCTCAAAAACTACAAATACAGAGTCTAACAAACCTTCGATGCTCTGACGGATGGCGTAGATCTGGGAGGTGTGGCCACCGCCCTTGACCCGGATGCGCATGTCGATGCCGACGAAGTGTTGGCGGCCGAGGAGGAGGATGGGCTCATAGGCCTTGTAGTAAAGAATCTCACGCTCCACCAGCTCGACGGGACAACTGCTGATCTTGATCAGGCCACGGCCACGCTTGCAGTAGGTGACGGCCACGGCTGTCTTCTTTCGGCCGAAGCACTGGACGGACTCTACCAGAGGAGCTGCCATTGTTGGAGAGATTGGGAGACCTGTAAAATGAAATCAATAGGGGTAAAAATGTAAACTCCGTATACAATATATCAAAAACATATATCATACCAAAAATAAAAAGGACTAAATGGTTTAAGAAAAAACACTCAGGACAAATTAGAGAAACATTTACCAAAATGGAATTTATGAGTAATTTTTTCTATTTTTTATTCAATTAGTTCAAGTATTGGTTAAAAATAATTTGTAGACATTTAAAATCAATTATTCTTAAAGTCACTAACTATTAAAATAAAATATAAAAACTCTTTTTATAGTGATTTGAAAATATAAAATATATTGGATCATACTTAAAAATTAACAAAAATTGATCACAATCTATTTTAAACCCTAACAAATGTGATTTTAGAAAGAAAGAAAAAAAATATGCATATTGGTAAGTTTTTTTCAAATTGTGCGAAAAATAAAATAAAAATCACAGTTCCGATTACCGTAATATCTCAAACCCTAATTTTAATTGTCAATTTAATTTCTCAATTTCATTTAATTCATGTTTAGTGATAAAATCTCTCAATCTTTTTAATCAAAATTAATTTAGGAATTTGGTGATTAAATTAGTCTAAGTTCACATTTGTCCCTGTGGATCGATACTTGGACTTGCCATTGTTCTAAAATAATTTGAAATAGTTTATTGTTTATTTTTGGCGTGTGTAATGACCTATCAAATTTTGGTGCCGTTGTCGGGGACCTCTGGCGAAATTGAGTAATTTAGAGTTACATTTCTATTTTAATTTGTAGTTTAGGGTTTTATATTTTAGTGTTGCTAAGTGTGCAGGGCATTTGCAATTGGAACCATCATTAAAATGCAAAGCAACCAAGTTTTAAACAAAAATACCGCAGCACCAAAGTGCATAAAAAAAAGAAAAAGAAGCAAATACTCACAAATAGAACACCAAAGTGCTAAAACGAAAGAAAGAGCTTAAGTGGATCGGAAACAACGGTCTACCCCTCAAGCACCCGCAAGACGAGTAAAGCATTTTCATTTAACCGCTGTGAGTATTTTCTCCTTTGATATTTTGTTTTCATAATTTAGTGCACAGAGTCGGAATTTGGTGTGTGTGTGTGTGTGTGTGTGTGTATGAGTAGTGTATGCATGGGTGCTGTTCTTGTCGCCCTGAATTGTGGAGTTTGGACCTTAAACTAGAAAGGACTCTTAGGAAACTTAGAGCCTCTACCCGTGTTCCTGAAGTGCAAGCGAAGCGCAGCCAAGTTTTAAACAAAAATACCGCAACACCAAAGTGCTTAAAAAAAAAACAGAAGCAAATACTCGCAAATTGAACACCAAAGTGCTAAAAAGAAAGAAAGAGCTTTAGTGGATTGGAGACAACAATCTACCTGCCAAGCACCCACAAGACGAGTAAAGCGTTTTCATTTAACCGTTGTGAGTATTTTCTCCTTTGATATTCTGTTTTCATAATTTAGTGCACAGAGTCAGAATTTTGTGTGTGTGTATGTGTGTGTGTGTGAGTAATGTATGCATGGGTGCCATTTTGACGCCCTGAATTGTGGAGTTTGGACCTTAAACTAGAAAGGACTCTTAGGAAACTTAGAGCCTCTACCCGTGTTCCTAGGCTTGAATATTCGTATCCATACTTTGAACCAACAGAGATGGAAAACCCGAATGGCCTAAATGGGCCCAACCAGACCCTCAAGGATTACTTCACACCCACTGCATACACATCACCATCCTGTATCCAATTACCCGACACCACTGCTGCTCATTATGAGATTAAGTCCAGCACCATACAAACGCTCCCATCACTCCATGGACTAGCTCATGATGATCTTTACAAACATTTGAATGAATTTCTGGAAATTTGCTCTACAGTGAGGATCCAGAATTTCACAAATGAGGTCTTAATGTTGTGATTGTTCCCATTTTCATTAAAGGACAAAGCCAAACACTGGCTAAACTCCTTACCTGTTAATTCTATCATAACTTGGGACCAATTACAACAAAAGTTTCTGGAGAAGTACTTTCCCATTGGAAAGACCAACCAACTTTGGTGAGTCATCACTAATTTTTCTCAAATTGATGGCGAGCAATTTCACGAGACATGGAAGAGACTTCGTGACCTTCTCCAATAGTGTCCCCACCACCAAGTGCCTGATTGGTAACTTGTTCAAACATTTTACTATGGCTTAACTGAGCCTTACCGCCAAATGGTGGATTCATCTTGTGGTGGGACATTCATGTCCAAAAATGACGCCGAGGCTTGGCAATTATTTGAGAACTTAAGTGATAATTCCCTTCGCTATGCCTCCGCAGCCCGGCAACTAGTAGTTGGAGCCCCGAAAGGAGGGGGCATTTATGAGGTCGAACAAAACCTAGAGTTGGCCCAACAAGTAGAGGCATTGTCCCACAAAATAGACCAATTATTAGCTGCAGGACATGCCCCTACACAGCAAGATCAACCTCAATTTCATAAGGCGTGTGCTATTTGTGCAAGCCCTGCTCATGATTTGAGTGAGTGCCCTTCGCCATCACAATTTCTGGAGTTATTCAACTATTACACTACGACCTTTATATCCCGTAACTGCAACCGTGCTACCGCAACCGAATTTCGAAACCTTGCTTAAGGGTGTTTAAGGTTAGCTCAGTGTTCAAATGGAGTGAATCCATTACAGGCTCAGACTCGCCACTTTCTGGTATAATCTGAAACAACATTGCTCCTCTAAAAATTCAATATTTTGCTTGGGTTGTGTGGAAAGGGATGATTAAAACTACTGATGTGCTTCTCAGATTTGGTGTGTAAAATGGAAGTGTGGGAGCTGAGTATGTTTTTAGAAAAGCAGATGTTGAATCCTTGAATCATATTTTGATTCTCTGCCCCTTTGTGTGGAAGGTGTGGACTAACATTTTTAATTGGTGGAGCTAATTGAAAAGTTCAATCCACACTCTTTTTTTTTTAAATTCAAATATTAAGGAGAGGAAAATTGAAACTTTATAACTAGTACAGATGGGATAATTTCAGGCAATGTGGAACACATTTCAACATACCTTCCTAAACCACAACATACACTAGCCAGACAAACGGCACACCAGCCACAGGCCCAACCAAGCTCTGATACCAAATTAAAAAGTCTAACCCACATTTCTTCTTAAAATCAAATATTAAGGAGAGGGAAACTGAAATTTTATAACTAATACAGATGAGGCAATTCTAGACCATGTGAGCTGAGCTGAAATGTGGTTACAACTGTATGCGGTTGCAACTGTTGTTTGGATGGAAATTCAAAAAGGGAGAAATGCATATATGGACAGCATTATCTTGTGCAGCCTTTTGGTTAATATGGAAGCTAAGAAATGATTCCATCTTTAATGGTGCACAATCGTCCTCAAGTCAATTGATTTATCAGAGTTTATTAAAGTGATGGTGGCCTTATGGATGAAGTCACATTCACATGGGATATTATATTCAGTGAATGATTTTGTATATAAAATTGAGCAATTGAAAGATGCTTTGGTCCTGGGAGCTTAATGAGGGGGATAGATGCTTTGGTCCTGGGAGCTTAATGAGGGGGATGGTTTGACTGCTTTGTTTTGTGCTCCAATGCTGATTGACTTTGTTTTTTTGGTTAGACTGAGACTGTGTTTGTTTCCTGAGTTTAGAGAGATTTAGGAAGAAAAAAAAAAAAATATATATATATATATATGTGCAAAACATAAGGGAAATATGTTATTATTTTATTTACATTTTATCTATATTTTTTCATTCTCTTTTTTAAATTTCTTCACAAATTCATAAACCAAACACAATTAGAGTGTTTTGCTTTGTTGTGTTTTTTTATTTTTATTTTTATTTTTATTTTATTTTTGTGTGTGTGAGTGTGTTGTGGGTTGGTTTGTCAGCAATTTGGTGTTGTATTAGCATATATTGAACTTGTTTTGCGGTAGTTGAAATCGTTTAGTTCTATTTGATGTCTTTTGCACTAATTTTTTTTTATTAATGTTTATCATTTATCTTGTCCTCTAGTTTCCGCGAGCGGATCCTCTAGAGTTAATTCTCTAGAGTGATCTCTTAAAGTAGTTGATCGAACGGCTCAGAATCAAACTCACCAAAACGACGTCGTTTTGGTGAGAATTTTGAAAAAAAAAAAAAAAATCAGATTTTTTGAAGCTTTTTTTGCAAATCAACAATGGGATGCAGAAGTTTCGAGCTCCGATGCACTCCATTGGGATTGACTTTCTGGCTCTGGTTTTACAACCTTGGCTCTGTAGCCATTAATGCGCTTTGAAGCTTTAGGAATTGGAACTGCAGAGAGTGCTGGGACTGTAGCGATGATGAACCCTTTGCTTTCTCTCTCTACTCTCTCTCTTCTTCTTCTCTCTCTGTGTCTCTGGTTCTGCGTTCGTCGCTTTTTCTCTCTCTGTGTGTCTCTAGTTAATCTGATTTGGGTTGTTGGGTTGTGATGATGATGATAAATGGAAGCCATTGTTGATCTGCAGAAAAAACTTCAAAAAATCTGATTTTTTTTTTCAAAATACTCACCAAAACGACGTCGTTTTGGTGAGTTTTTTGAAAAAAAAAAAAAAATCAGATTTTTTGAAGCTTTTTTTGCAGATTAACAATGGCTTCCATTTATCATCATCATCACAACCCAACAACCCAAATCAGATTAACTAGAGACACAGAGAGAGAAAAAGCGACGAACGCAGAACCAGAGACACAGAGAGAGAAGAAGAAGAGAGAGAGTAGAGAGAGAAAGCAAAGGGTTCGTCATTGCTACAGTCCCATCACTCTCTGCATTTCCAATTCCTAAAGCTTCAAAGCGCATTAATGGCTACAGAGCCAAGGTTGTAATTTTTTTTTTTTTTAGTAAACTTTCTTTATACTTTTTTGCAAAGTTTTGGCTTTTAAAAATTACTCCGTTAGATAAATCAGGAAAGTAAAAATATAATATAAAAAAAATTCATCAAAGACAAATAAAAATAAAAAATGAAAAACCAAAAACCAAAAACCGTCATATTTTAACCTTTTTATTGGCTTTAGTGAATTTTTATTTTTAGATTTTTAGATTTTTTTTTATTTATTTTACATTTTTTGATTTTTTTTATACTAGACAGATCAAAAAAAAGTAAAAAAATAAAATTTAATTTTCTTACTAAAAACAAAAAAAAAATTGAAAATAAAATGTCATTTTTAACTGAATTCGAAATGAAACTCAAATCAATCACACTCTCTCACTAGCACGAAGATACAAAGTGCAAAACAATTCCTTTATTCATTACCTTCAAATATTGTTTGGGTAGAATTTTTTTAATCTCATTTTTTGATATTTTAATTATTTTAATTTAGTTTAAAAAATTCCGTTTGATATGAACTTTTTGCCTTTTTATAGTTTTGTGAGAGAAAAAATAAAATTTTATTTGATTTAGATGTGATATTCTATCTTTTTAATTTTTTAATATACTAATTTAATCCCAACCATCTTAGCAAACGAAGCCCCAATTTTCAAATGTCAATTTATTTACCAAATGTGATATGGCATTGCCGAATGTGGTCTCGTAGAATGGTTTGTAATCCGCACAAGATCACAAAGGTATCGTTTGGTAACACTTATGTTTTCACTTTTCTATTTATATTTATAAAAATTTGAAAAATTTAAATAAAAACTTATTTGGTAAAATTTTTGATTTATAAATCAATGGTCTCAGTTTATAAATTTAGTCAAAAAATGAAAACACAAAAAATGTATTTCCATTTTAAGTTTTCAGTTTTTTTTTTTTTTACCACCCAACACTAGCCACCACCCGCCACCATTTTCCACCACCGTCTTCCGCCACCACCCCCCACCACCCACCACCATCACTTGCCACCACCACTCACCACCTACCTGCCACCACCACCCACCTGCCACCACAGCCATCCATCACCCACCACCACCCACCACCAACCACCACCACCACTACCCTCACCACCAACCATCACCCACCACCCACCCGCTACCCACTGCCACCACCACCCGCTACCACCACCACCACTTCGTTACCACCTACCAAACCCCGCCATGTTCACCTTACCACCCACGCCCACCACGACACCACCACGCACCACCAACCGCCACCGTCAACCCCACCTCACCCACCATCACCACCCACCACCCCCGCCCCGCCACCCACCTGCCACCACCGTTCACCACCGCCCACACCACCACCCACCACCCGCCCCCGTCCCCCCCCCAACCACCATCACCCCCCACCACCCCCCCGCCACCACCACCACCCACCTGCCACCACCATCCACCACTCGCTACCGCCACCACCACCACCACCAACTCCACCACCACCACCACCCGCCACTGTCATCCACCCACCTGCCACCACTATCCACCACGCCACCCACCTGCTATCACCACCCACTCGTTACCACCCGCCACCGCCACCACCACCACCCACCACCCACCGTCACCACTTTCCACCACCGTCTTCTGCCGCCACTTGCCACCACTCGCCATTTCTCACTCTTTTTTATATTTTAAATTTTTTTTAAACATTTTTGTCAATTACCAAACGCGTTTGTAGTTTATGTTTTTCTAAAAATAAACAAGAACCAGTTTATAAAATTTTTGTAAATATAAACTGAAAGCATAAACGTTACCAAATACACAGAAAACCTCCGTCTTCCAAATTCAATAATGGGAAAATTACACACACACAAACCCAAATCAAACCAAACCAAATCAAGCCTTAAAAAATAAATAAATAAATAAATAAATAAATAAGTATTTTAATTATTAAACTCAATAAAAATAGATATTTTAGATATATTTTATGTATATCTATATTGAGTGTAATAACTAAAATACTTTTTTTATTGGTTTGTCCTAACAAAAATAAGCGAATGGTTTCGAATGGTTTAAATTGAAAAAAAAAATAAAAAGATTAAGGTTTAAATTGACAAAATTAAAAATTTAGGATTGATTTTGTTACAAGATTCAAATCCTAATTTATTTATTTTTTTTTTTGTAATTGTCCCTTATTCAATTAATTAAATTAAGTGTTAATTGATGAAAAATTTATTTTTATGGGGCCATATGCTATTTGGTCTATGTTTAATTTTTTTGGTGATAAAGATAGGCTTTGAAAAATCAATGGTAGCCGACAATAGTGAAGACAGGTAAGTGATACGTGTATATATATGTGACATTTAAATAGATAGTTAGACAGATAAGTAAGATATGTACAAATAAGTGATATTTGGACGATAGGTAAATTTTGAACAAATAAATATTTCTTTTATACGAGAAGTATCATTTTGAACGGATAATATCATTTTAACTAAAAAATTTTAAATTAAATTTATTGACTGAAAATTTTTATAAATGGATCTCTAACTTAAATACTTTTAAATTAATTAGTTAGTTAAATAAAAATTTGCAAAATGTTTCTAGTGTGGTACTATGTTCGTCGAATTTTTTATTCAACAAGGAAAATAAAAATATAAAAATATTTTTTATATTAAAATATATATATTATTTTTAAAATCTCGTTTGTTTTTTATATGGAAAAAACAAATTAGACCGAGTGAGGAATAAACTCATTTGTTTAGCCCACTATGACTGGTCAGCCGTCTGCCGGCCGGATGCAATGGATCAGAGGAATCTATTCAGCTTAGTTCCCAAAAACAAAAACAAAAACAAAAAACTGAAAGGAATCTATTCAGCCCAATCTTCCCAATATTCAAGGCATCATAACTTTGTCCTCGCCTCATGTATCATAGTGAAAAATATTGTTATGGGTATATTTTACAAATACATTAAAATATAAATTACATTTTAAAATTTATAAATATTTTTATGTTGAAATTTTATATTTAATAAAATAAAAAAAACAATTCTTAACTAATTTCTTATATAACAATAAAATTACTTAAATTACTAATTAAAATATATATCTAATATTATTGAGAGGATATCTCCGATAATTGTTTTGGACTGGATAGGGCTCTTTGAGTCGGTGGGACTTTTCATAAGTTTCATTTTGATAATTTCAATCATTTATTTTGTTGAGTTTTTCGTATATTTCATATGTAAAAAAAAATTAGATCGATCAATTAGATCAATCTAATTTTCTTTCTTTTTTTTTTTTTTGAATAAAATATATGCACCTTTTCAAAATAAAGAAAATGAAAAGCACACTTTTTCTCCATAAAATTATGACAAAGTCACAAGGGCCGAAACACCCCTATCCAGTCCGAACCAGTAACAGAAGGGAATCCCCCTTATTAAAAATTGTCAATTAATTTAATAATTTATTAATAAAATGACTCATTTGTCAAAAATTTAAAAGGATGCGGATGCACAAAAAATAATTCGTATTTTATATTATTGTTAATAATCTTCTCAAGCCCCCTCTCCTATATATGTATGATCATTGTGTTTATGTGTATATATATAACAAGAAATATCTATATATGTATCAAGATCAGCAGCAGCAAGAAGAAGAAAGAAGAAGAAAAATGTTGGGAAGAGTATCAGAGGAGATGGAAGTGAAAGTGTCGGCAAGCAAAGCATGGGAACTGTACGGCACCCTACAACTTGCCAAGCTCGTCGAACAGGTGCTCCCTAATGTTCTCGAAAAAATTGAGATCGTACAAGGTGACGGTGGTGTTGGTACCATTCTCAACCTCGTATTCCCACCAGGTATATCTATATGGAGAATTACTCAACAGTGTAACAAAAAAAAAAAAAAAAAACATAAACATAGAGCAAAAATGCTGTATACCATTAAACAGACCACTAATGACGTGGCGAGATGTGGACCTTACACTCATGTGATAGTTTGGCCTTTGTTTTTTTTTTTTTTTTTTTTACATTTTTTTTACACTGCCGCGTAATTAGTCCTGTTTTTTGTGATGGTGTATTAATAGTCTGAATCGAAACTCAAACATAGAGGGATGTTTTTCATTTGCACTTCATCACAGAATTACTTTATATCCCATATGTTTGTAAATTTTTTCCTCCACTCGAATGTTGAGTAATTCCCCCTCTCTATATCTATCTATACATATATCATTTATTTAGTTGGGTTAATTATATTGGTAGTGTTTGTAATTTTATTTCTTTATGTTTGTTAATTTGATTGTTGTAATTTTAATTGTATCAATTTTATACTTGAATTTTTGCAGTGTATATTAATTAAGATTTAGTTAATAACAATTCTTTAAAAATTAACTAAAATCAATGAACAAGTAGTTGATCCACTATTCTCAAAATGATTGAGATATCGGTGTCCAATTTTATAAATTTTGACATACAAATAGTAAAAAAGTTCATACATAATGTGGCTTAATGTAAACTTTTCACCGTAAAACATAATGGAATTTTTTTATTTAGCTCCCTGTAAAATATTTTGTATTATTAGATTAAAGACAACTAAAATATATTTATTAGTTTGAGGATATTGATTTTTTTTTTTTTGGAAAAAAAATTACCCTTATTCAAGTTTTATTATTTCACCACCTCCGACCAATATTGTCACCTTTGATCGCCATTTCCAGTTTGTCGACAACCGCCTCCAATAACTGGTTGCAACTTTTCGGTGACCACCATCAGTTTATTCTCTAACAATGTTCCGGCGAAATGAATTTCATTGACTTAGCACAATAAAAATCTCTGACGATTCTTTGGCAAAGTGAAATTTCTCACAGAACTAAGAGAAATTTCACTTAGTGAAATTTTACAAATATAATTAAAAACATTATGAAAAATTTTACACAATACTCACATTGATATGGTCCATATGAATATTGTATAAAAATTGTAGTTATTTTTTTTTAGAATTCCTAACATTGCTCTATAACTTTTTGGAGTATTTACGTGTAGGTCATAATAAGTAGACTTATTGTCTAATAGGTCCTATGAGAAAAAAATTTCATAAAAAAAGTCACCAATTGTAAGTTTTAACGACAATTTATAAAAATCATGACAAAAAAAATCAATAATTGTCAATTTTTAACGACGTATGTAAAAAATTGTCACAAAAAAATTATTTTTAGCGACAATTTTACCAAGACTTATTTTCAATAGAACTTGATAGGAATTAAATTTAACTATTAGGACTTATTGATAGTTTACCCTAACTTTTCTTTTATTACAAAATGACATTGCGTTTTTATTTTAAATTTTATGAAGGGAATAGAGCTTCCCATTTCTAATTGATCCATTTTTTTTCAATGAACTATATGGTCTTTAAATTCAATCCAGTTTCTTAGAAGATGTTACTCCTATTAATTGAATTTAATTGACACGGTCGAAATATTAAAACGAAAACAATTAAGAAAAATATTACATATAATTTTATTTTTTGTCTTATTTTCTCACTCCTAAACATAAATGAGTGGATCTCGTATGCATGCTACAAAGTGAGATTATATATAACATTACAAAAAAAATTAAGACAATTAAAACTACAGAGGCAACCACATGCATAATTAGCCCTTTTTTCGATGAAATTAATTGTGTTGCTTACACTAAAAAATTGAAATGGTTATTAGGGACACCGGGAGGTTTGTCATCATACAAGGAGAAGTTTACAAAGGTAGATGATGAAAAGAGAGTGAAGGAAACAGAGGTGGTCGAAGGAGGATATCTTGATTTAGGATTCACTCTGTATCGTGTTCGATTTGAAATCATAGAGAAAGGGGAGGAGAGTTGCATCACCAGAACCACAGTTGAATATGATGCCAAGGAAGAAGTTGCTGCCATGGCTCCCTCCATGATCAGCATCCAACCATTCGTGTTGCTTATGGAAGCTGCCTCCAATTCTCTCACCAAGAACAACAAAAATGCCTAATTAAATTTAAAGACTGTTTGCACAAGCATTTTGATTTCTTCAAATCTAATCTATGCTCTGGCAGTTTTTTTTTTTTTTAATCATCGAAAATAAAGCTTTATTGATGAAAATTCAATGTGCATATCAAACATTGAAAGAAAACATCAATACAGCTGAGGCTAGTGCTGATCATATTGTGTAATTTCTTAAGTGCTTGTATGCTGTTTTCATTAGACAGTTGGGAGTCTTCAAGATTAAAATTCTAAGCATGGTTTGGCTTCTTTTTTTATTTTTTTTATTTGATATTTGTGTTGTTCAAATAAAAAACACAAATAGTGATGTGGGGATATATTTTCTGAGTACCAACACGTGGTAAGGTGACGCCGATATGTCAGCCGAGGTGCCATGTGTCCTAGTCATTATGCCGAGGTTATCTCGGCGTTGCCGAGGTTATCTATGAAGATATCGGAATCCGAGATAAACGGATAGGGGACAAGAGTCCTAGAATGAAGAGGAGACTTAATCAAGATGAGGATAAAGCTCTTAGGGAGTTTATCTTTATCTCTTGAGGAGTCCAAAGTAAGTACTGAATTGGAGTCTATAGAAGTCAGGCTTCTAGTGAGACTAGGATTGAGTTAACTGTAAAAGAGAGGCACCCCCGTGGGTCTAAGGTACGCAATTTTATGCTTTGAGCAGTAAGTTTGGCACTTGATTATCTTTTAGAGATATACTAACTTGATCGTCGGAGTGCCCCCGGGTGGAAGAACCACCACTGGAGCCTTCTCTTTCTGTTACAGGTTAGCTGAAGCCATCTATTCTGTCGGTGCTCTCTAGTTGATTACTAAACGGGCAGTGTGACCAGAAAATCACTCACACAATTTGGCGCCGTCTGTGGGAAAGTAGAAGAATAGATGGCCAGTAACAGACAGAAGGAAAAGATTGGGGACGACACTCCTGCTGGGAGTGGCAGACCTATCGACCTTGATATCGAAGGAGACAACCACAATGCAGAAACTCGTGACCAGGGCCACAGAAAGAAAGACGTCAGCCAGGAGGGCGAAACTTCAAAGAAGACAGACCAAAGCAAATACTATAACGAAGATAACCTCCAGGTATGGAGGGATAGGTGCCTGCGGAGGGATAGGTGCCTGCGGAGGGATGAAGAAGTAAAAGAATTGGCAAACAAGTTGGCAGACCTGCAGTCGGTCGTCAACTTCATAATGCAAAACAATGTCATGCAGCCACCGTACCCGTTGCACGACACGCCGATTCCAGCAATTAATACCCAGAAGGGAGGAAGAAAAACAATCCCCGAAGCCCCTCAGCACACCAGAAGCGGAAGGCACTCTCACCGACCTTCTAGGGAAGTCAGACGAGAGGAGTCCCGAAGGACGTATTACACAAAGGACCCAAAGCCCAAAGAACATCGGCATGTTCAAGGGCAGGCGCTCTGCTTTGACACAACCCATTGAGAAAGATCAAAACGGGCCCACCACGAGGCCGAAAGTAGTGTGCCGAAAAGATGGAAGTCCAAAGATAGCCGAGCTCCAAGGAGGAGTAAAGAAGACTGAGAGATTACCTCAAGAGGAAACAATAGAATGCTGAAGCAGAGGTAACTTCCTCGGTTAAACCGAGGACACCATTCTCGGTGGAACTAGACAAATTTGAAGCACCAAAAAGATTCAGTATGCCGAGGTTCCAAATATATGATGGTAAGTCGGATCCCAACTTTTACGTTGGACTATACCTGAATTCAATGGCATTATATAGTGGGAACGAGCCGTTGCTCTGCAAAGTATTCCCCTCATCCTTCGGGGAGATTGCATCAGATTGGTTCCATAAACTATCGAAGGGAAGCGTAAAGACTTGGGAAGGCCTGGCCGAGATGTTTGTGGCCAGGTTTGTGACGAACAAACTACAGCCCTTGAGGGTCGACGCACTGATGGCTTTAAAAATCACAAAGGATTAAGGCCTTAGGGCCTACGCAAAAAGGTACTACGAGGTGTTCAATCGAATACCCGAATGCAACCAAGAGGTGGCGGTCGTTTCTTTCAAGAACGGCCTGAAAGATGACTGTTTACTATGGAAGTCTTTGGCAAAGACATTGCCAAAAAGTATGGAAGAACTCATGGCGAGAATCGAGAAGTACGCCAGAGCCGAGGAGGATACGTTGGGAAACAAAGAGACAAAACAGGAGAAAGGAAACGGCTCGCCGAAGCGAAGTCGAGGTAACAATGGATCGATCAAACAAGAAATGGAATTGAGGGCTAAACAGGCAGCGATGACCGTGTTCCGAATCCCGGTCCACAAAGTCCTGGATCAAATACGAAACCAACCCTATTTCAGAGCACCGACGAGAACACCGGGGGAATTTATGGGAAGAAACGTCGGTAGGCGTTGTGCTTACCACAATGAAGAAGGGCACCCAACTCAGGGTTGCAGAGCCCTAAAAGCACACTTAGAAGACTTGGTGAGGCAAGGCCATCTGAGGGACCTTGTCGATGAAGCCAGGATAAGGGAAGAACAGGCAAGATTGCCTCAAGCACCAGCAGCTCCGCCTCTCCCAACACAGCAACCACAAGCAGGAGGATCACGGGTGGTTAATGTAATTCACTCAAAGGTGAACAAAAACGACATACGTAGAGAGACCCAAAAGGTAAAACACCTATAGCACGTGAACTAGGTCGGCCATAAAAGACCTCGGCTTAAAGAATGCCAGGGCCAACGATAGCCTTTACTGAAGTCGACCTAGAGATGCTCCAACACCCGCACAATGATGCCTTGGTAGTATCCCTCCAGGTTGGGGAGTGCCAAGTGAAACGCATCCTGATTGATCAATGGCCAGCTCTTGCGACTCATTATATGTTAGATGTTACAAGGATGCTGGGGCCTTCATCCTGGGATGAACTTGGAAATCTTTTTCCTCTCTTGGGGGGGGTTTTTTTT